AATGAATGGGTAGGGATGCTCATGGTTTAGTTAACCATAACCAAACTGTGAGTATTTTTTAAATCAAACCACCACTATTGGTTTTTAGAAAATCATGAATTGAAATTAAACCAAATCTAATCGGTTAACCAATTAATCAATAATTTGATCTATCAATTATTTAATTTTTTGATATTTATAATATACTCGTAAATGTGTACATGCTTTATACGTGGCAATTCTAAATGATGATAATGATAGRAGTAATGCATCCAAATTTTTTCCAAAAAATTCATATATTTTTTGTTTTTCACTTTTAACCGGATGCAGACTACAAAATCTAGATTTGATTACCTAAGCACCTCATATTGAGCTATAAAGTTTTGGGTACCATTGGCTAGACTCTTCTTTTCGTAATGTTTTATCTATACTTTTTTGTTTATTTATCAAAAAAATGTAAGATTTAAAGAGGGGGAATTGAATGAGGTGAAAATTGTAGTTCAAACTACATTTTAAACCTCACAATTAAATAGCAATTAAATTCAAAAAATAGGTATTTTAATCAAAAGAAAGTTCCACAATTTTATTAATATTTTTAATAGTAGTATAAATATGCAGTTATAGATGTATTCAATTTTTTTTAATTTTTGTATTTCCATGTGTGTAAAAATAATACTGTTATTTACACTTATTTTTTTTCTTAATATGTTAAATATATAATATTATACATGTGTCCAAATGTTTTTTTTTGTAAAATTTATGTATTTTTTATTTTTGTTTGTTTTTATATTTATTAATTTTTATTATTTAATTATGACATTTAAGGTTGACATATTTGACCCAAAAGTTGAACTATTGATCTCTACCAAATAGGAAAATAATTTTATTTTTTGTTAGTTTTAGATTATGTATTTTATTTGGGAAAATCTATGATGTAGAAAAGATATGGTATGGAAAGAGTTTTGACCAATCAAAACCCATCCATGAATTTTGATAAATAACACTTCCCTATCACGTATACGAGGCTTATTGGTGATTTTTTTTTGGATATCGTATATTTTTCATATCATAGTCAAACCCATTTTATTTTCATCATCAATAAAAATAATTCTTGCTTATTACACTTGTTTTTTTAATTTGATTAATAAAAAATATCATAAATGTGTTTATTTTTTTTATATTTTTGTAATTTTCTATATTTATTTCTATTTAAAAATTTTATTAACTAACTATTACTTTATTGGTTAGTCAATTTGAATTGGATAGTAGAATTGCTTAGTCATCACTTGAACAAAGAATAAATTTTTAATAAGTTTTAAAATATATGGATATATTTTTAAAAATATTGGACATAGATCTAATTAGTAACACTTATAATAAAAAATTAATTTAAATATAAAATTTAATAAGAGAGAATATAAATTAATACCATAAATAATTAAATAAAATGAAAAACATTAATTAAAATTATATTTTCAACCTTTGGACTAAATAACAAATAAAGGCATTTTAATCGGATACCTTCCGATTTTCAAAAATACTGAATCGATTGTTTCTATTAACCGGAGTTTTTTTATGTGATTTGGTTTTTTCACTTTTTCGACTTTTGATAATCACCCTGCCGACGACAAGAAGAGAGAGAGAGAGGAGGGGTTACCCATCCGCCATGGCCCAGACTCTAGATCGAACAATGAAGTGGTTGGAACTCAAGGATAAAGATGTAGTCATCGGCCTGTGGAGGGTCCCACGAATCGCGCAATCTGTTGCGCTCTTTTCGAGACTGCCAACTGGCACTGGAGACACAAGCACGTGCACCCTCCACCCAAGAAAAATCTCCAAGCGCTATTAATGTCTCCACCAACTGAGAGAGCACTTTTACAGTATAGTTTCCGGGGGAGGGCCCCACTTCACGATAAAATGACTCCTTATCCTCATTAGCCCATTGGGCAGAGAGAGGACTGAGAATTCTCCTACCATAACATACGACGAAACGGTACACTGTAAAAACACAGTGCTGCATGTTTGGATAAGCTTTTCAAGATATAGTACAATTAAGCCATGTCAGCATCCGACCAAAATGGAGTCTCGACCGTCCGATTCGTCCCACTGTGGGACCCTTACCTGGCATTAGTTGGAGCCATCGGCTACAAATGAGCAATAATGCTGATCGGCTGACAACAATAATCCTTCGTAAATCCACAAGATACCGAATAAAGAAAATTATAAAAAATTTCTCATGAGTTTTGTTTCAACTATATAAAAGGGTAAATTACAGGTAGTACTCTGTACTTTGGGGTAGTGAAAGATTGRTATCTCAAACTTTCAATAACATTTGAATACTTTGAACTCTCAAAAAATAGACACTTAATTCCATCAATTGGAATTCCATTGGTTAAACATTGTATAATATCAAAAATAGTTTTTTCATATATTTTTTAGATCATTCTATTAAGTAAAATCATCACTAGAGAATGATCTTAGAAATAGACACTAAGGGCATTTTTGGGATTATATAATATTTAACTGGTGAAATACAAATGTTGCAATTAGAAGTTTAAGTTATCTATTTGTAATTTACCCTTATATAAAACTACTTTATCATTTGATCCTAACAAACAATCTCACCAAGGTCCATTTGGATTGTAGTAGGAATCGAAATGGGAATTGGAATTGAAATCCTTCAGGAATTGGGATGATTTATTCATATGATCTGTTTGGTTCAAACATAAATTAGAATGAGAATTGGAATTAGGTGGAATGAGATTTCATTCCCAAGGGAGGGGGAGGGAATAACTATTTCCTCAAATGGGGAAATGCCATTCCACCATGAAAGGGAATGAGATTCCACTTCTTCCCAACCAAATAGTTTGAATTGAAATGGCCCATTTCGATTCTGATTTCATAACCCTATTCCTGTGAACCAAACATGACCTAAAATATCTCCCATAATTTGATGATTTATTGAAATTTATCACACACTTTGCATTTTACTAAAACACCCCCTCTAATTTTTAGTTGATTTATTTAATCGATCTTCTATTAGATGATAGTAGAAAATGACGTTTTGATTTTATTGGCTAGTTGAATATATTTAATCAAAAAAATAAAAATAAACTATCATTTTTGCCCTTAATAAGCATGATCAACCATTTTATTTGGTTCTATTTGGTTAATTTTGTTTTTTGTATGAAGAAGTGTTAGGGATATTTTTGAAATAAACAATTATAGGCCCATGCCTTCGAACATTTTTTACTCAATTTAGGTGATCTTACACATAGAAAAACAAACACTTCTTAGTGAAAGGTCGATTAATTAAATAGGTTGCAAATTATAGGGGGTGTTTTAGCCAAATAAAAATCATATAGTAAGTTCAAATAAATCTATGAAACTATAGGGGTGTTCTATTATATGCCTAATGACTCTTTTGAAAAAATAGTGTAAACATTTCCCTTCTATCCATGCACTTTCTCACAATTTCTTTTATGAATTACTTTGTTACAAGTTGAAGGGGGGAATGCTAAAAGTCTTTTTGTGAGGAATAGCAATCTTTCTTCTCATAAAAAAAAAGTTGAAGGGGGATAAGAAGGCAAGTGATTCCAAAAAGAACATAAAAGAAAACAAATAAGAAATGATTTAAGATGCCCATAATTTAATAAATAGTTATGATAATTAATAGAAGGAACCAAGAAAACTTATATAGCCAACCCCATATAGTTGTGACTAGGCTCAGTTTGCTTAGATGATGATGATCTCCTTCTCTTAATTTTCTTGACTACTAGATTTATCCTTAATGAGGTTTGTGTAAAATCTATAATCAAATACAACGATAAAAGAATTAAAATCATTAAAATTAAAGTCCATCATTCTTGCAAGTTGAAACTGATGAGATAGATTTAGTTGAACACAATATCAAAATGCTTCACACCAGTCATAAAATATATGATTCCTCATCTAGTCTCGATTTGGAATGATAGACCACAATAACTAGTCTTAAATGTTTAAGAGAGCATTTTGATAATTTTAACATTTGCATTATCGAAAAAAGTATTGAAAATTTGTAGAATCCCTATCTCCTACCAACCAAATACATTCCAACGCTCTATCAATATGATCTAACACCATACATCTCATACTATGGTGAGACCCACCTTATGATTGTTCTCATTATCATGATGAGATGCACGGTATTACATCATGTTAATAGGGTGTTGGTATGTGTATTGGGATCGATATTACCCTGCACAAGTGTTGGGTTAAATCCTAACGAATTCATATCTGCATCTCATAAAGAGCGCCTCACAAGTGTCCCATAATACATTCCAACTTGTGAGCATCTCCCAAAATGACGAGCCTTTGATGTGAACACAAATCTGACACCATATATTTCATACATGACGAGTCTTTTATAATGGGTTCCACTCTCATGGTGAGATGTGCCGTGTGTCACTAGATTGTTGGTAGGGTGTTAAAACTTGTTTGTTGGTAGAAGATCTCAATTTGTGGGGTTATGGACTTATGGGTTATTCCAATTTGTATCTCTATAATGGAGTCCAAAAAATTAGGAAATTTATAAAATAGTTAGAAAAACAAGGAAAGTTTTCATAATTTACCTACATTATGATCTTGTCTGTATCCAAATGCTACTTCAAGGGCTACCATATTGTGGTACTCCATTATAACGGTGGAGTGATGCCAATCAGGTAACGGATCAGAGTTGACAAACGAATCAAGATCGTCAATTCTCTCCCTCCAAAAACAGGAAGAGAATACGGGAAGTGGAAACCGGATTAAGTTTTTAATTAAAAATTTTAAAAAGTTGAGTTCGTATTCTATGTACATAGTACGATTTACCAGAAAATAATAGATTAATGGCGCAGCAGTTCGACAAAACCGTCCACTGGTAAGTGATGAGCGGTTTTTGTGAAAGAAACCGGGGAACAGCGGAAGTGAGCTTTGAGTGCTGTAACAGCTTATAGAGAGGCCTTAGTAGTTTTCTTGCCACTGAAGGTGCGAGATCTCCTTCTCTGCTTATTATATAAAGGCTGCTCTCCCTTGCTCTTTCCTTCATTCCACTTCGTTCATTCCGTTCTCTCCATTCGTTCGTTTGTCCTTTTTTTAGCTTTTTCTTCGTTGCTTTGTTGGTTTCGAAGGTAAATCCAGGCTTTCTTCCTGTTTCTGGAGTTATAGCTTGCATTCTGCAATTTTATCGTTGAAGGCTTTTTCTCTATCTCTCTTTCTCTAACTCCTTTTCTGAGATGGGGACGATCCATTTTCGTACGCTGAACAAGATCAATGTGACTCGTTTCTTGCCATTCTTCAAATCAACACTTTTGGCCTCTGTTTCCTGGTTTTCTGGTTGAAAATTATGGATTTTCTAGCTATCTGCTTGTTGCTGCCAAGTTCTAATGCTCAAACAATGATATTGGAACTACGAACCGGCTTTATGCGTTTGGAAATTCTCATTTCCATTTTAATTTATTTCATCATAATAAACAACTAACATTCTGAACAAGAGAAGAAAAAAAAAAAAAAAACAGAAGAGAACACTGTGGCTACACACAGCACTTCCCTTTTCCGGTTGCAACAGTTTATTTTTGAGGATTTTTTTTGTCCTTTTTTGGTAAAACCCTCCTTACTTTGATGGGGATTTAATTATTTCGGCTATGATATATGAGCTTATTCTCTTGATCTATGTTTTGAACTGTTCATGATCAGATTCAACCCACCTGAGACAGGGCTTTTTCTGCAACAAAGACCTCTGGTGGAACTTTGTTTTGCTGCATTTCACTTTTTTATCAAGTGACTCTTTGCCCTGTCCATTCCTTTTAAATTTTTAGTTTCTGGTTAGTAAAGAATTTTAAATTTAGAAGTTTGGTAGACCATCTTCTAGATGTTTTCAATAGTCAATGCCCAACTACCCACCGTCTACAAGCAAGAGCTTCCGTTGTTGGGCCGGATGCTTATCGTTTGGCTCTGTTTCTTTTGCAGTCGGAGGCTAATACCAGAGTGTCATGGCGGAACGGGTACTGGCTCGTGTTCATAGCCTTCGGGAGCGCTTGGGCGAAACCCTTGCTGCTCAGCGCAATGAATTGCTAATCCTCTTGTCAAGGTTTTTGCTGTTCTTTCTCATATCTTATGTCAAAATCTTTCTTTCTGTTGCAATGATCTCATTTGATTGCTTTCAAGTTCATAGTCATGGATACTGGTGAGGATCTTCTGCTTAGTTGGTTCTGTGATTTGGATCAACAGGATTGAGGGCCATGGGAAGGGAATTATGCAACCCCATCATCTCTTAGAGGAGTTGGAGAAGATACCAGAAGGAGACAGGCAGAAACTAGTGGATGGGGTGTTCGGAGATGTCATAAGATCCACACAGGTGAGTCTGACAGCTGCAACTTTTGGGCCCTTTGAATCTAGAATGTCTCTTGTTCTATTTTTGATCGTGTTTTGTTTTGCTAAATGCCTGATTCAGGAAGCAATAGTTTTGCCTCCATGGGTTGCTCTAGCTGTGCGCCCAAGGCCTGGTGTCTGGGATTACATACGTGTGAACATTAATGCTCTTGTTGTGGAGGAGTTGACTGAATCTCAGTATTTGCAGTTCAAAGAAGAGCTTGTCAATGGAAGGTAAATTTTGGGTTTGGAAATATCATTTTTTGTTTCTTTTCTTTATTCCATATCAGCTTTGTTATATTTGCTTCCTCTGACTTGTACCCGTAAAATTTTGTGGCTTTCCGTGTTGCAGCTCCAAAGAGAACTTTGTGCTTGAGTTGGATCTTGAGCCCTTCACTGCATCTTTCCCCAAACCCACTCTGTCCAAGTTCATTGGAAATGGTGTGGAGTTCCTCAACAGGCATCTTTCTGCAAAAATGTTTCATGACAAAGATAGCTTGCACCCACTGCTTGATTTTCTCAGAGCCCACCAATACAAGGGCAAGGTAAACTGTCTATCAGAGTCACCTCTGCATGTTCTGTCTTCAAACCTTGAAATTTCTAATATTCTGCGGACTGTAAAGAGTTTCAGATGCAGCAAATTCTTTTCTTTATGTCCAATGTACCGATGTTTTCAACAATCTTTTGCAGACAATGATGCTGAATGACAGGATTCAGAACCTTGATACTCTCCAGTCTGTTCTCAGGAAGGCAGAGGAGTATCTTTCCACACTTCCTCCAGACACACCATATTCAGAATTTGATCACAGGTTTCAAGAACTTGGTTTGGAGAAGGGGTGGGGTGATACTGCTGAGAGAGTGTTGGAGATGATTAACCTGCTTCTGGACCTTCTTGAGGCACCTGATCCATTTACCTTGGAGAAATTCCTTGGGAAGATTCCAATGGTGTTCAATGTTGTAATCCTTTCTCCCCATGGATACTTTGCCCAAGCCAACGTTCTGGGCTACCCTGACACTGGTGGCCAGGTGTGTTTACACAAGAGTGAAGTTCGTTTCTTACTGCTTTCACCTGCAGATTTTATGAGTTGATCATCTTCAACACTGGTATCTGTTTGTAGGTTGTGTATATTTTGGATCAAGTTCGTGCTTTGGAGAACGAGATGCTTCAGCGCATAAAACATCAAGGACTTGATATAATCCCTCGAATTCTTATTGTAAGATGTTTCTCTACAGCCTTTTGCATGTTCAATCGTATAGAATGCTTTACTGTGCCTATTTTTGATGCTTGATCTTATTGTCGAACCCAGGTGACTCGACTGCTGCCTGATGCAGTAGGGACTACTTGTGGCCAACGTCTTGAAAAAGTCTTTGGAACAGAGCACTGTCATATACTGAGAGTTCCCTTTAGAACTAAGAAAGGAGTTGTCCGCAGATGGATCTCACGGTTCGAAGTGTGGCCTTACTTGGAAACATTCACAGAGGTAAAAATTAAAAACATGTAATTCGTACTGATGATCTCTCTCTATCCTTTGCTCAAGATTTCTAAATGCTTCCTTCTTTTCCTTTTTAGGATGTTGCGAATGAAATTATTGGCGAGTTACAGGCCAAGCCAGACTTTATCATTGGAAACTACAGTGATGGAAATCTTGTTGCATCTTTGCTAGCACACAAATTAGGAGTGACACAGGTTGGTTGAATGGCTGATTTTGCCAGAGTTGCTCATTGGTTGTAGTTGGTTTGATCTCGTCACCATAAGCCAATTCTTCTCACTTGGATATCTCTTGTTTGCTTCTTCAGTGCACCATTGCCCATGCTCTTGAGAAAACAAAGTATCCTGACTCTGATATATACTGGAAAGAGTTTGAAGAAAAATACCACTTCTCCTGCCAGTTCACAGCCGATTTATTTGCCATGAACCATACAGATTTTATCATCACCAGTACATTCCAAGAGATTGCCGGAAGGTATTATCTTTATTTCTATCCTTATGTTCTACCGTTAATCTTTGTTCTTCCTAGTTGGTTAGTCTAATTTTATCATGTTTCCATGCTGTAGCAAGGACACTGTTGGGCAGTATGAGAGTCACACTGCCTTTACTCTCCCTGGACTCTACCGGGTTGTCCATGGTATTGATGTTTTCGATCCTAAGTTCAACATAGTCTCACCTGGAGCAGATATGACAATCTACTTCCCCTACACGGAGCAGGAGAAGAGACTTACTGCGCTGCACCCAGAAATTGAGGATCTGCTCTACAGTAAAGTAGAGAACACAGAACACCTGTGAGCATCCATTTCTGTTGCCCCCTCCTTTTTTCTCTTGGAATAAATTGATGTGAACTGTAATGATGATAATGTTTGCTATGTTGGTGTGTTGCAGATGTGTGTTGAATGATCGGAACAAGCCAATCATATTCTCTATGGCAAGATTGGACCGTGTGAAGAACATTACAGGATTGGTCGAGTGGTATGGTAAGAATGCTCGGCTGAGAGAGTTGGTTAACCTTGTTGTGGTGGCTGGTGACCGGAGGAAGGAATCAAAGGACTTGGAGGAGCAATCTGAGATGAAGAAGATGTATGGGCTCATTGAGAAATATAATTTGAATGGTCAGTTCCGATGGATTTCTTCTCAGATGAACCGGGTGCGAAATGGCGAGCTTTACCGATACATTGCGGACACAAAGGGAGCTTTTGTACAGCCTGCATTTTATGAGGCTTTTGGCTTAACAGTTGTGGAGTCCATGACCTGTGGTTTGCCCACCTTTGCAACCTGCCATGGTGGTCCAGCCGAGATCATAGTTCATGGCAAGTCTGGCTTCCATATTGACCCCTACCATGGTGATCGGGCAGCTGAGCTCCTTGTCAACTTCTTTGAGAAGAGCAAGGAAGACCCAACATACTGGGAAAAGATCTCGCAAGGTGGCCTTCAGCGTATCCATGAGAAGTAAGCAGACTGATTATCTAATTGGTTTCCATTCTGATGATTCTTTACAAGTCTTGATTTCTGATGGTTTCATCTGTTTCCTTACTCCTTTCACAGGTATACATGGCAGATCTACTCTGGGAGGTTGATGACTTTGGCTGGAGTATATGGGTTTTGGAAGTATGTCTCCAAACTTGATCGTCGTGAGACCAGGAGATACCTTGAGATGTTTTATGCCCTCAAGTATCGGAAGCTGGTAAGCTCCTCTGTCGATTCTAATACCCACTATTTAATTTGAATCTGATCCTTGCTTTGTTCTCTTAACTGATTATGTTTCACTCATAAATTTTGAGTTCAGGCCGAGATGGTTCCTCTGGCTGTCGAGGACTAGATTAATGGAGAGAGATTGTAGGAGCAAGTTTGCTGGAGCAAATTTGCTCATTGCGTGCTGGATGTTAGAGAAGCGATTGCGTGATTTTGCAGGGGGAGATTATTATCCATTTTGTTTGCAAATAACCGTTTGATCCATTTTTCCATACAAATTGTAGTTTGTGCTTTTTCCCCTGCTGAGTGAATCCAAGTGTAGAATGTACCGTTTTCTTGGCATAATAAAGCTAAATTTCCCGTATTATCACTTGTCTCAAAGGTTTTTAGTGCTTTGATTTGCGCTTTTGGCCCAGGAAAGAGTACAAATACAAATATATACAGTGCAAATACATACAAAATAATATAAAATACAAGGTTTTGCACTCTACATATTGTATTTGTGCCCCTTCCAAACTGAGCCTTTGGTTCATTCCCATAAAATTTCTGATTCAAATCTGAATTGGATCCATTGGTTTTATCGTTAGTTCAATCTTTTAATCTAAATCCGATGTATAAGATTTAATTGGAATTCCAGTACAGAAGAAAAAAATAAATCCCCAACTGATCTAACACTGACTTTGTTTTTTCGATTATTTGATCCTACACTGAATTCGACTCGTGGATCACTATAAATTCTGAGAATCCGGCTTTCTATTAGGGCAGAGGCCATGTTCGGTGCTCGCAGGATGCGCCTTGCGTCTTTTGTTTCTTGGATTAATGCATGCGAATAAACAAATCTATCCTTCATGTCGTTAGTTTCTCATTCGTTCCATTCCACTTCCCATTCGAGATTCGTTGGACTCTGCACTCGCCAGTAACCTCAAGTATTTTGGATTCTGCCATGATAAAGTCGGACTGTTATCACTGGCGATTAATAGAAGCCGGACTCCTGTTAACTGTAATCAGAGTTCAGATTTGCCTACCCTTGCTGAACAAGCAAGAATGGAGGATTCTGAAAAAGAAGTTCGACGAGAAAAAAGATGATCACCGGCAACAAGTGGAGGTGTCATTGTCGTTGTCTCGTGTTTTTTCACTCTACCACTTGGGGAGTCGGTTTCAACCTTCATCCGAGAGAATGCCGTCTGCAGCCATCGGCTGTTAATGGTGGCGCTAAACCAGTGACCCATCGACTAAGACCTATCTTCCAACGCCCCCTTGCGACTCTTTGATGAAACCACTTCATCCTCATTTGCATCTCCCATCCCCCCCAATTCCCCTTCTCTCCATGTCCGCGTTCTGGACACCACTTCCCTCTCTCCCAATGATTAAAGAGTTTTGTTGGTATGTATCTATCTACCTACTACTTGTAGTGTTGCCCTTCTTTCTCATCCTCTGGTTTATTAGCTTAGCGTGTGATTGTTAATTTTAGGCTTAGGTAGCATGAAAAGTGTTGGGTTCCCTCGTGAGGTGGGATCCATTAATAAAGACAAAGAAAAGAAAAGAAAAGGACAAAAAAAAGGAAAAGAATGAAAAGTCAAGACTTTTTTGCATTGGCTTGCAATGTCCTTGGCTAACCAATGAATTAGAGAGAGTTCACTCTCCACTCTCTCAACTCTAACAATTCTCTCTAGAAAATATTAGAGAAAAGAAAAGGGGTTTTGAGAAGAAGGTTTTAAGTAGAAGAAGAAGATTTACAAGGGCTGAAACGAAGAAGACAAATCCGTTTTTAATATATCTTCTTGTCTCCCTATTGTGCTTCCACTCTTGGTGAGAGATTTCTTATTTGTTATCTATTTTAATGATGTTTTTTGTTATTGGAATCCAAGATCTTTCTTAATGTTCATCGTCTAGCTGTAACTAGATAGAAAAATATTATATCCTATTACTATTGTTGATAGTGAATGTTTTGGATTTCGGTTTTGTGGTTTTTACCTTTACATTGAGGGGTTTTTCATATAAATCTTGGTGTTTAATATTGTTACTTACTTTGTATTTGGTTATTTGTTTCATTATTGCATGCTTGATATCTGTGGTTAAGATCTCTTTGATTTGCACAAGGAAAGTATAGGGATTATTCCCAACAAACTAGTATCATAACACTTGGCTCTTGTGTAAATCATGGAAGGAGGTTCAATTAGAATGATTTTATTAAATGGAAGAAACGGGTCTCTCTGGAAACAAAAAATGAAGGATTTGCTGCTCTCTAGAGATTTGTATGCACCTATGAGAGGTGATAATGGCAAGTCGAAAGATATGTCCAATGAGGATTAGGAACTCCTTGACTTAAAAGCAATTGCTTTTATTAGACAATGGTTGGATGATAGTCTATCATCTTGTAGCAAATAAAATCTCAACTGTTCCACTTTGGAACAAGTTGAAAGAATTGTATGAGAAGAAAACCATTGGCAATAAGGCTTTCCTAATTAGAAAGCTTGTAAATTTAAAGTACAAGGAAGGTACCTCCATCACTGAACACTTTAAGCTTGTAAACCAATTAGCTTGTAAACCAATTTAAAGTCTCTTTCTTAATTAGAAAGCTTGTAAACCAATTTAAAGTCTCTTTCTTAATTAGAAAGCTTGTAAACCAATTAGCTTCAATGAATATGGTGTTGGATGATGAACTTTAAGCTCTATTATTACTTAGCTCATTACCAGAAAGTTTGGAAACACTTGTGGTATCTCTCAGTAACTTTGCACCCGATGGAATAGTGACAACAAACATGGTAAGGAGAAGTTTGTTCAATGAAGAAATTAGAAGAAAATCAATGGACCCAAAACTAGATGCTCTCCTTATAGAAAGCTGGGTAGAAGCCAAAGTAGAGGTCCACATAACCATGACAAGTCTAGAGGCAAGTCCAAATCAAGGAAAGATATTACATGCTTTCGTTGCAAGAAACAAGGCCATTACAAGAGTGAGCGTCAGAAACTCAAGAAAGACAACAAGAAAGAAAGGAAAGAAAGTGAAAGAGATGAAGGAAAGGACACAACTGCAGTTACAAGTGGAGATATTATTGTTCTCACAGATTGTGAAGAGTCGTGCATTAATTTAGCATGTCATGGCATGGATTGGATTGTTGATACTGGTGGGTGCTTCCTATCATGCTACTCCTCACAAGGAATATTTTATCTCTTACAGTACATGTGATTTTGGTGTTGAGAGAATGGGGAACACTGGAACTTCCAAAATTGTGGGGATGGGTGATATTTATCTTGAATTGACATAGGTTGCAAATTAGTTCTCATGGATGTCAGACATGTTCCAGATCTCTGCTTAAATCTGATTTTAGATGGTAAGCTAGATGAAGAATGATTTAATAACCAATTCGGAAATGGAAAATGGAGACTTTCCAAGGGGTCTCTAGTGGTAGAAAAAGGCAATAGGTGTTGCACTCTCTATCGTACATAGGGATGTGTTTGCAAAGGTGAAATGAACATCATGGAGAAGGAACTTTCTACAGAATTGTGGCATAGACGATTGGATCACATGAGCGAGAAGGGAATGTAAATTCTTGCCAAGAAAAATCTGTTAATTGTCATGAAAGGTACACATTTTAATACTTGCATTCATTGCTTAGCTAGTAAACAAAATAGAGTTTCATTGCAAAACTCTCATCATTGAAGAAAGCATGCTTTAGAACTGATTCATTCTGATGTTTGTGGGCCTATGAAAGTCAAAACTCTTTGTGGTGCATCTTACTTTATTACTTTAATAGATGATGCTATTAGAAAAGTATGAACTTATGCTTTGAAATCTAAAGACCAAGTACTAGATGTTTTTAAAGTTTTTCATACTATGGTTGAAAGAGAGATAGGTAGACGTCTCAAGTGTATTTGTACTGACAATGGTGGTGAATATGAATGTCCATTTCAGAATTATTGTAAAAACCATGAAATTTGACATGAGCAATCAGTTCCTAAGACTCCATAGCAAAATGGTGTAGCTGAAAGAATGAATCGCACCATTCTAGAGAGAGTTAGATGCACGTTGCCACAAGCAAAGTTGCCAAGCTGTTATTGGGGAGAAGCGATTGATATAGTTGTGTACTTGATTAATTTGTCTCATGTAGTTCCTTTGAATGGTGATGTTGTTGAAAGGGTATGGATAGGAAAATATATTTCCTATGATCATCTCAAGGTATTTGGTTGTACGACCTTTGTGCATATACCCAAGGATGAGTAGTCTAAGCTTGATGACAAAATCAAGCAGTGTGTTTTCTTGGGATATGCAGATGAAAAGTTTGGTTACAAGTTATGAGATCCAATGAGAAAGAAAATCATCAGAAGTAGAGATGTGGTCTTTTTTGAAAACCAAACAATTAAAGACTTTGAAAAAATTGAGAAGCCTCAAGCAGATGATGGTGAACTTGTAGACTTGGATCCAATGTCTCCTCCCTATGATGTACAGAAATGATGGGGGAGATGTGTAACAAGAAAATGTGAACTCAGAAAATAATGAGAATGTTCCCAATGGAAATGATGAATAGGGGGAGCAGCCCCCTCAAGAGCCACCAACTGAATTAAGAAAATCAATTAGGGAACATCGACCATCGAGAAAATATCCACCAAATGAGTACATAATGCTTCAGATGCAGGTGAACCAAAAAGCTATCATAAGGCTCAAGAAAGTGAGTACAAGAAAGAATGGTTCAAGGCTATGCAAGAAGAGATGGACTCTTTGCATAAGAATCATACCTATGATTTGGTGGAACTACTTAAGGGTAAAAAGGCACTCTAGAACAAATGGGTATACAGGTTGAAGCATGAAGATAGGAGCTCACAACCAAGGTATAAGGCAAGATTGGTTGTGAAGGAATTTGAACAAAAAAAGGGCATCGATTTTGATGAAATTTTCTCTTTAGTAGTAAAAATGTCATCAATACGTATTGCATTGTGCTTAACTTCGAGTATGGATTTGGAGGTTGAACAATTAGATGTCAAAATGACTTTTTTCTATAGTGACTTGGAAGAAGACATCTACATGGAACAACCGGAAGGATTTGAAGTCAAAGGAAAAGAACATATGGTTTACAAGTTAAGGAAGAGTTTGTATGGTTTGAAACAAACTCTAAGGAAATGGTACGAAAGTTCGAATCATTTATGACAAAGCATGGGTATGGTAAAATAGTTTTAGATCATTGTGTTTTCACTAAGTATTTTTCTAGTGATGATTTTATCATTATTTTGCTATATGTTGATGACGTGTTGATTGTTGGGCAAGATAAGACAAAAATTGATAGGTTAAAAGCAATTAAGAAAGTCTTTCTCCATGAAGGACTTATGTCCAACTCAACAAACCTTGGGTATGAAAATCTCATGTGATACGAAATACAAGAGATTGTGGTTGTCACAAGAAAGTTACATAGAAAAGGTGCTTGTAAGATTTTGCATGGATAAAGCAAAACTGATTAGTACTCCATTGGCAAAACATTTCAAATTGTTTGGTGATTGTCAGCACTCGATTTTTGCTCGGTCCGCTACCTGAGTCTCCAATTCACCCCAAACACTTGATCAGACCCTTCCAACCTCTCCGAAACACCAAAAAATCCGAAAAGCCCAAATTTCACCCCGATAGCCCTCAAATCCACCATTAAACCTACCCGATACCTATTCGATGGCCCTCGATAAACCCCACTCACACCTTAACCATTAGATCAGACATAACCATTAGGCCCGAGACATCCCAAAACACCTACCCATGAAATTTGAATTCAAGATTCCTTTGTTCACCTGTCCATCAAACAAAGATTTCGTTTCGACCATTCTCGCACCTACAACCCATATCCACTTTATTCGATCACCTCTAAGCCAATCAAGCTTTTCCAATCACCCTAGAATACCCATAAAATCCTACATATGAAATTCCAGCCAAAAACACTTTCATTTACCCTTGATCATACAAATATTTTATTTCAAGGCTTCAGATTGGCCGGATTCCAAGTTTGCTCGACCCGGGCCCAGTTGGCTCAATCTGATTTTACCAATCATCTTAGACTACCCAAAACTGCCTTTATTTTCCCTTTCATCACACAAAGATTTCATTTTGAGCCCGTAGATTAACCGAATCGAACCCCTTCCATATCTACCTAATCTGTGCCCATTCAGGCCAATCTGACCCCGCCAATCAATACAGAATGTCCGAAAACCCCATCCTATAAAACTTCAGCCAAAAATTCCCCCGTTAACCCTTCCATCCAAAAAGATTCTATTTTAGTCAATCATGTTAGTCCGCACATTAAAACCCTATTTATGGCCGAACCAGTCTCAATCCTCTTTAACTGGAATCACCCACCATCGAACCAAACCCAGTTTAACCCTTTAATCCCCTTTTGACCCGCGTGAATAAAACCATCAGCCTCCCCACAATTTTGTAAGAATTTACGAAGCCGCGCCTGGGTCTTCTTTAAAAGGAGACCTAGGCGATTCATTTTGTGGGGAGAAGAGCTGAGAGAGAGAGGGGGCGAAATAAGAGGGAGAACGAGAAGAGAGTTCAGAGGAGGAAGAGATCGTCGTCACCTTTGCTCCACAGTGACGACGAATCGGACGTAATTCGCTGCCATGGACGATTACCAGAAGTATTCCGGCACATCCTTGCCCTTCCTGTGAACCCTGTCCCAGAAACTCTCACCAGTACCAGTCGTTACTAACAGTATCAGTCGAACTCAGGCCGAAATACCCATTCGGATCGAAGCAATTCCATCTGATAATTCCTTTTCCTCTCATTGTTTTAATGCTCGACTGACACCATCCTCTGCTCAAATGCGATACTCAACCGTTTACATTATCTGTGCTACCACTTTTATATGGCGTTCCTTAGGTTCTGCTCTGTTTTCTTTTTTGTATTCTATTTTATTTTCGTTCATTGATTAGTAGTTTAATTTCCGTTCTTAGGTTTTTTTCTTTGCGTTTTCTGTTAGGTAGTATAGGGTCTGAGTTCTTGGTATAACTTGATGTTGGGATCGCCCTAGACTCCCTCTGTTTTTTTTTTTTTTTGATGTTTCCATGATTGAACGTTGATTGGTTATTCTTCCCTTGTCCTCCATTCCACCTAATGTGATTACGACAGTATCAGTTTTGTTTACTTCTTTTTCCCTAATTGCTAGATATTGATTAGTTCTGATTATGCATTCCCCGTTTCAGTTTGTTTGAGTGTAGGTTGAGTAGTCCTCACCTTGTTTTGCTGTCTTAAGCAGTTAGAATTAGACCTCTCTCGCATAAAAGAAATGTTGTATTAACGAAGGGAGTAGGGGTTTGGATTTGTTTGTATACTAGGCTGAGTGCAGGGGGATGGCAAAAGAAAAAAAAAGGAAGAAAAGGGCCCATTTCACAGGGTTGTGGCACTTGGATCAGTTATCTCTATTGTTAATCTTCTACTGAAATATCATCGTTGCTTTCCCTATTCTGCATGATAATTAGTACTACTGGTATCATTTTTTTGCTTCCTTTCTTTCTTTATTGAAATTGTATTCCTCTTCATAACTGTGCGGTTGCTCTGTTTTATTTCATATCGAAGGCTGAATCGGGATCTGGGGCGAACTGATAATTCCAGAACTGTGTTTTATTTTACTTTATTTTCTTTCATTTCATGACCCTTGGTATGTAGCTTATCCTAGTCTTTCTTCCTTGATGACTTCGTATAATTCAGTATTTGTCAAGAGGAGTCTCAATGCTATTTTGTGATTCACTGAACGCTGTATCGGCCATGCTTGGGAAGAACGCCATTCCCATGTCTTTGTTTCATCGATTGCTAATCTCTAGTTTGCTTCGTATGATTTCTTCTCAGATGGCCAATTCCGTCGGGAGATGTCCAACTTGGGCTCTTCCTGTGAAACATCAACGAAAACAAGTGGTTGTCAGTATTTTATCGAGTAGAGGGAAGAGTAAAAAAAAAAAAAAAGACTAAAATAAAATATAATGATAAAGATTTAGAGGGAGGAAGAATAGAGCTGAAAGGGATGAAAAGGGACAGTGACCGGGAAAAGTCATKGGTGAGCTTCGCATTTGCAGGTTCAGAGTGAGAAAAGGATGCGAGCCAGAGAGAGCAAGCTAAACTAAGGAAAAAGAAAAAAATAAAAATAAAAAAAAGTAGTAATAACTAAATCATGAATAGATTGAGCCGAGGAATATGCAAACAAGCCAGAAGGTAGAAAAATACATAAAAAAGAAAAAAAATGAAGAATTTAAAATAAATGAAATAAATAAAAATATGATAAAAGGTAATTTCATATAACAAAATAACAAAAGGTTTTGTAGGGAAATAAAAAAGGAGAAATATAAAAATTAAAGCAAAAAAGAAGGGGGATAAATAAAAAAAAGTGATAGAGCAAATTATCCTTTATATTTGTTTTTTTGGTTGTTCTTTATTATCAATTTCCTTAACCGTTCTTTTGTGTCTATGCCTGTTGTATCGTATGTAGGCCCTATCTATTGGACCTGGGAGAGGGGTGCCTAACCCCTTCCCTACCAGGTCTTACACTGACTGGTTGGACCAGTGCTTGGGCTTTGGAGTCACTAGCAAAACAAAACAAACTTTTCGATGTTAATATCGGAGGTCCCACCACCTCCATTTTCGTATTTGATGGGTGGTGATTCCATTTCAGCCCAAGTGGCAAAGTGAACCGGTTTTTTCGATGTTCACAGTGATTAAAGTCCAAAGAATGAGAAAGAAATAGGAGAAATGAAGAACATTCCCTATGCCCCTGTCATAGGAAGTTTTATGTATACTATGGTTTATACTAAAATGGACATAGCACATGCAGTTGGTGTGGTTAGTAGATTTCTTGCCAATCCAGGCAAAGGGCATTAGCTAGCAGTAAAGTGGATCCTCAAGTATATGAAAGGCACATCCAAAGTATGTTTGTGTTTTGGTGGTGGTAAACCTATGCTTGAAGGGTTTACAGAAGTTGATATGGCAGGTGACATTGACTTTAGAAAGTCTACATCAGGTTTCTTGTTCATTTTTACTAGGGGAGCAATGTCATGGAAGTCTAAGTTGCAAAAATGTGTAGTCTTGTCAACTATAGAGGTTGAATACATAGTTGTCATAGAGGCTTGCAAAGAGATATCGTGGATGAAAAGGTTCTTAAATGAACTTGGTTTGAAGTAAGAAAGATTACATTCTATTGTGATAATCAAAGTGCCATTCACCTGTGTAAGAATCCAAGCTTTCATTCTAAGTCCAAACATATTAATGTGAGGTATCATTAGATTTAGAATGAGTGCAACTTGAGAAAATTCACACTGACAAGAATGGGTTAGACATGATGATCAAGGCTTTATCGAAAGAAAAGTTTAAATATTGTAGAAGCATTGCAGGTTTGGGCATGGTGCAACCCTCTTTATAAGTTGGGAAGGGGGATTGTTGGTGTTCCCTCCTTATGAGGTGAGACCCACTAATAAAGACAAAGAAAAGAAAAGAATAAAAAGACAAAAAAAAGGAAAAGAATGGAAAGTTAAGAGACTTATTATTTTTTTTTTTGCATTGGCTTGCAAGGCAAACCAACACATCCTTGACTAACCAACGAATTGGAGAGAGTTCACTCTCCACTCTCTCAACTCTAACAACTCTCTCTAAAAAATATTAAAGAAAAGAAAAGGGGTTTTGAGTAGAAGAAAATTTAAAAGGGCTGAAACGAAGAAGACAAATCCGTTTTCAGCATCTCTTCTTGCCTCCCTGTTGTGCTTCCACTCTTGATGAGAGATTTCTTGTTTGCTATCCATTTTAATGATGTTTTCCGTTATTGGAATCTAAGAGTTTTGTTGATATTCATCATCTAGTTGTAATTAGATAGAAAAATATTGTATGCCATTACTATTGCTAATAATGGATGTTTTCCACATAAATCTTGGTGTTTACTACTGTTACTTACTCTATGTTTGGTTATTTGTTTCATTATTGCATGCTTGATATTTGTGATTAAGATCTCTTTGATTTGCACAAAGAAAATATAGGGATTATTCCCAATAGAAAGGAATATAAGGGAGATTCACAAGATCCACCATGAAGCCAAGGAAAGGGGTTTTGGCTGAGTTTTTCGCTACCCGACCCTGTTCGAAGTTAATGTCAAGTGCATTCTCCTCTATAACTACCGATTAATCTCTCTCTTTCTCTCACCCTTCTCCTTTCTTCCTTATTAGAACTAGTTTATGTTATAGTATTCTTTGGGTATTCGATAGTCATGCTTTTCATTTGATTGTTTCAGATTGTGTTACAAATACAAAGACACAAGGAATTTGCTGATTTTTAGGCTCAGTTTGGAAAGAGTGCAAACAGAAATATGTGTAAAGTACACAAAATACAAGGTTTTCCACTCTATAATCTGTAAAGTATACTTATATTGAGTCATGATGGGCTGAGAACAAGCAAGTCCAAGCCTAATAAATCATTGGATTGAGCCTAATACCCACAAAGTTGATCTTGTACCAGCAAATTCAAGAAGTTGGTTTTCAACTCCTTATGCCCCATATGATACGTAGAGGATTTGTTTAGTCAAACCTGAAATCACAGAAATCTACAGTGATAATAGAAACAAAGTTACAATTAACAATAGTAACTCACTACAGGGATGAAGTCAGAAAAAGAATTTCACAGGGATCTAAATAACAAGGTAAAATCTCAATAAAAATTCAATAATGAAATGGAGTTACAAAATAAGGAATGAATATTTAAATGAAAATAATAGGTAATGACAACAACGCCTACTCTAGTTTAAATGATAGGTTGAAACTGACTCCGCAAGCGGGCGAGTGAGAAAACACGAGACAATGACGATGACACCTCCACTTGTTGCCGGTGGCCATCTCTTCTCTCGTCGGACTTCTTTCTCCATAGAATCCTCCATTCTCGCTAGGCAAATCTGAATTCTGATTACCGTTACCAGGAGTCCAGCTTCTATCAGTCACCGGTGATAACAGTTCGGCTTTTATTAGGGCAGAGTCCAAAATACTTGAGGTTTTTCTTCAGTCACCGGTGTTAACAGTCGCCGATGATGGCTGTTGGTCGCCGCCGATTGGAAACGGAGTGAGTGAGAGTGATTGGCGAGGGCAAAGTTTGACGAGTCTCGAGCAGGAAGTGGGATGGAATGAATGAGAAGCTAATGGAATAAAGGATAGACTCCGTTTAATTCGTTTGGCACACATTAAGCCAATGCACGAACCAAATGACACGTGGCACATCCTCATGCTGCGTGAATGGTGCGAACATGGACTCTGCCTTGATAGAACCCGGACTCAAATTCAGATATATGAATGAAAGAAACACGAACTTTGAGAATGCTTCAAAATATCGTTTGATATTTAATATTGAGAGCGTTTTACAATATTAATCTTTTTGTTTTCATTTGTTTTTGGAATCGTCACATCAAGAAAAAAAATAAAAACATGTTATTGAATTTTGTTTTTGTTTTCAAAGGGAAAAACAAAAAACATGTTTTTAAAATGAGATTTAAGAACATGTTTTTGGTTTTAGTTTTGAAAACAGAAAAGACAACTAAGAAAATGTTTTTTTTTTGTGTTTTTGTTTTAAGAAACAAGATGGTTTTGATTTGCTTTTAAAACCGACAACAAGTAAAACAATTCATGTTGTAGAACACACCCATTATGGATAGGGTGAAGTGAAATGGAGGTGATTGTAAGTTGATTGTCCTTCCCATTCCCAAACCCAGGACTGTCAACGGGTTGGATCTGGGTAGAAATGGAATCGACCTTGTTGATACAAATTCCATGTGTGAGTGAGGTGGATAGGCTACGTACAGGGGTCTCCTTGAAGGACAAAGAAAAGCTTGGATCAGGAGGTAGGCTAAATGCTAGGGTAAATGAGGTGATAGAATGATCCCTTTGTTATGAATTGGACCCCTATTTATAGGGAAAGATCCCTGGGGTCCCGAAAGGAAGGAGCGAAAAGCGTTTGATTCCCATTAGGAAAGGGAATCTCAGATTCGGTGTTAGTTGTCAAGGAGCATTGCTAGGGTTTCACCACGTGTCTTATAAGATATTTCAAGGACGAGCTTTCCTTTCATCTAAGGATTCTTATAATACACGTGTGCTACTTCCTTTTGTGACCGTCTTAAACCGACGTGGCACGGGTGATGTCACGGCTCGTGCTTCCTCATTAGGCTCAAGGGTTGTCTCGTCACACGCGTTATTTAATTATGCACGTGTTTCTTTTAGTTGCTTCTGATCTGCGATGAGCTTGCGCTCATCGCAGTTGTGCGATGGCTTTAAGTTCATCGCAAGTTTGCATAGGTCTAAAGTTCATCACAACATATTTCGGGTCATAAGTTCATCGTAGATTTACGATGAGTTATGGACTCATCGTAGATGCACGATGAGTTATGGGCTCATTACAGGCGTTCGTATGGTATCGGTTTGATACCTTCTGTGTTCTGATGGTCTAAGTGACCACTATGTACCTACTGCATTAGTCCCCTGTGAAGGAAAGGGAAATCCATCATATGGATGGCTGAATCGTGCTGGATGGTAGGGCGAAATTTCAAAAATTTATTTTACCCTTCCGAGAATCATATTCCTGGTTTTAGAAAAATTGCATTTTTCAATGATCGTTCTTGCATCGAATCGGACCAGATTTGGAACCAATAGAAAGGGAGAAGAATACCTGAAACAGATTCCACATGTGTAGTTCCCAAAATGGGTGTTCACGACCAAAGAAGTGACCAAAACCAGCTTTCACTGAAAATGGCACAACTCAAATTGAATCTGGTTCAACAATGTAGTCCTTCAGCAAGAACTGCAATCCAACAACTTGGGTTGA